GGGACATGTACATAACACAGCTTAATTCCTTTTCCATCCCCTTTCCTTTCCCTTCCCTCTCTCTTCTCTCCACCCAACTCTTTTTTCTCTGCCGGGCATGGAACTCAGGACCTTGTGCTTGCGAGGCAGGCGGCAGCACCGCTGAGCTACATCCCCAGCAGGACCGAGTATTTTTGACAGCCGCGTGCTGTAGTGCAGTATGTGCGTGGCCACAGGCCACGTTGGCATTTCTTCACTTGTATTTTTACTCAGTGTACAAAAGAAATATGAGCACAGAGAGATTCGGAAAACAGGTAGCGTGCTTAGTAAGAGTAGTCTTCTGTGTGTGCGCTACTCTGCTTCCTCTGCTGCATTGATTCCCACGAAGGACAAGAGCAGAGGAATGGAGGCCGAGGCGTTCAGGACTGCGCTCTGTGGGGCCCCTGCTGCCTTAGGAGAGAGTGATGGGCTGTGCTCTGGGTCATGGATGCTAGAAAGAACCTGTGGGCACGAAGGACCCTTCATTCTTCTGTACATCATTTTAGGGAATAGACCATAATTTAGTAGGGGAATCTGCTAATCTTGTCGTCATTTTAATGTGTTACTGATGTCTGGTTTAGACATCATTTTAAAGTTTGACTACATGATATTTTGACACCAGGAAGTGAGGTGCACTATTTAATAACTACTCATTTCACGCCATAGTGGAGCTTTCTAGGTTCCATCCTCCATCTCCAGAGGCACAAGCATTTTTCTTTGCCTTTGAAAATAAAATAATACTGGTTTCCAAAATCCTTTCAAATGGCCTTGATAGGTGCTTTCTCAGTTTGTTCGTAGGTGTTATAAATATCAGATCACAAAGTTATTTTTCTCTTGTGCACAAGATTAGTGAAATAAACATCTAATTTCTGATGAAATCTTCAACCTTCCTAATATTTCTGCTTAAGAAATAACAGTTTTTTTCCTAAAGGTTTGGCATAAGTTTTGTGGAAGTATTGTTAAGATATCTTCATCCTCTCAACCTGTTGCTGTTGTGTGTTGTGCTCGGTGAGCAAAACTTGATCCCTTTGCACTGCACCCCAAGCCTGGCTGCTTCTGTATCTTTTCTGACTGCTCCTTTTTCTCCCAGATGTGACTTTCACCTTGACCCCTGTTCTCTCTGCTCATTCTTTGCAGTCCAGGATGCACCCTAGTCCTGCTGTGACACCTTTTCCAGAAATTGCACTGTTAATGAAGCTCTGATTTTCTGTTACACATCATTTTTGTGGCCTCCACAATTACAGAATTTATTGCCTGTAAAGTGTAGGATAAGTTTGACTTCAGGTGACAGTGTTGCATTGGTCCTAGCAGTGCTATCCTTGGCTCGTGTGGAGGATATGAGAAGTTCTCGGGCCCTCAGACAGCCTTGGGAAGACAGACTGTCCTGATGTCTGTGGCAGGCCCAGATAGAGAAGTTAAAGATAACTTCAGAAGGCTGTTGTGGATCCCACAGTGTTTGTTCAGCTGAGGTCCCTTGAGACTCTCAAATATTTGTTTGGTATAGGACTAGATAAGAATAGCTAACGTTTTAGAAGCTTTAAGTAGCCAGGATGATTTAGATAAGATGCACTAAGATTAAAGGAGCATAGATGGTTCTTTAGATGCTTTACGTATTCACAGATAAAACTGGTGGTTAGTTGACTCTTATTATAAACTGTTAATGATTGATGTATCTACAGAAAAATGTATAAAAGAAGAGTATTACCAAGAAACCTCCCCTTAACTCCACAGAGTTCTGGTCCCCCGTGCTCCTTCAGTTAATAGGTTTCGTCAGATACTGTCTTCAGGTTCCAGTCTCCCACCGAGGGGACCCCAACAGGCTTGCCCTTACGAAATCCAGGTGGCCTCTGTTGTTCCGACATTACTGTCCTCACATGATACTCTCAAGAGAGTAGTAGCTTTTCTTCTGGTTCCCTCTGAAGTTCTGACGGACAGGTCCCCCAAATTGGACCCCCCGCCCAACCAGAAGGAAACCTCCCCCCAAGCAGACCCTCTACCTGCATCCGCAGGAGCAGAGATGATGGGGAGCCAGCAGCAGCCCTGCTGCTCCGACCACTGCCCTGTTTATCAATCAGCCGCAGGCCCATCACCCACGGGACCCTAAATTTTCCACCCTCTCGCCCAGTGCCCTTCCCCCGCCTGCACTCCCCTGTGTCCACCCTGTACACCCTCCGCTCCGTGCCAGAGGTCTTTTTGCCATTGGCCCATCTGCCCCACATGGCAATAAATTTGCCCCCTGTTGCTGAGACTTTGCCTACCTTGGTGGTCTCAGTCATGCTTCGGTCTGACCACTGTAACCAGTGGGATGCTAGCTGGTTTACTAAATAAAAGTTTTTAGGTGGCTGCCCCTTATCTCCTTTGCATTTTATAGGGTAAGGGGGGCTGCTCCTCTGGTCTTTCAAGTTTCTAGCTACACACTTGTTCTGTCTGTCAACTCTTCTTGATAAATTCTTATGTTAATTGTGTTACTTGGGGCCTTCCAGGGTCTGGTTTCTCGCTTTCTTTACCTTTGTCTTTCTAATTGCTTGAATCTAACTGGAGAGGCAAAAGCTGGCTTTAGTAAGATTTTCTATTAATTTTTTTAATAAAGGTTTATGAGGCCCTATTTTATTCTTTCCTCTGCCTACATCCCCCTTTCCCTACATTTTCTTCAAGCCCTGACTCTTTGTCCTTTCATGCTAAAGGCAGTGGGTTTGAAACTTTAGCATATACCCATCTTTGTTCTGTTAGAAATTTGATTGCTCAGCCCTACCTCCAGAGTTTCTGAGTCAGTAGGTATAGATTGAGATCCTAGTATATGCCTTTCTAAGAAGTTCCTGGATGATGCTGATGCTGCTGTTCTGTGGCCACATTTTGGAGACCACTTCCTTAAGGACTTCAGGAGACTACAGATTCCTAGTTCAATGATACCACTTATCAGAGTGAACACAACTTTTATTTGTACTTCTCCTTGCAAGTATATATGCTCTGACTTCACAGATATGAAGAGTGTATTTTAGTTACCATAACATCTCCCTCCCCTGTAGGTCAAGGTAACTTCAAAATGTTTCATATACAAAGTATATATAAATGATTTATTTCTCTGCAAATGTATAGAAAGTATATAGACAGAGTAACAAAAATATCCATATTTTCACATGTAGAATCAACAGTTGTAATTATACATATATATATATATATATGCACACTTTTTTTTTGATAAACCATTTTATTATAGACAGCTAAGTCAGATAGAGATATTACAGGCAGTCAGAATTAGGCCCTCGAGAGAGTCAAGACAAAAGTGAAACACATCACAACTATGGCCAAAGACACATCTGTTGGAGACCCAGCCTTGAGATAAAGACAAGAAAACCAGACCTGTATACTTCCTTAAAGGACGAACAGCCAGCCTAATTAAAGTCTAGATAGACATCAATCACCCCAGTGGGTGACCAGAGACCTCTCAACCCATCATGTCCTAGAAGTAGTCTTTGTTCTTTCCATCCACACTAGTTACGTGACTTGTTTCCCAATTGGACACCATTACCTAAGTGACTATACTTGTAACCTTATTGGTTGATCATGGCTGTGGCCCATGTTGCACCCATGTGGGTTTTACTCTATAAAACTCCTCTGTAAAGTGGGGTTCTTGGCTACCCTTTAGGGACCCCTCCTGCCTCTCAGGAGCTATCCTATCAATAAATATCTTCCTATTCTTAACCTCCCTTGTTCCTAGAATTCATTCTTCAATTTTTAGAGAACATGAGCTCAGTGTATCAGATATCTAACAGGTTGGGAGATATAATATTTCATATTTCATCTCTGGCATCATTTCTTGTAGCAATTTGAAAGTAAATTACAGACTTTTTCACCACTTTTCCCGTAAATCCTTTAACACATATTTTTCAGTATGATCATTCTCTTACGTTATTACAATACCATGATCATATTTAAGAAAATTAACTATGATGCATTACTGTTGATTATTATGCAGTTATATTAAAGTTTCTCACTTGTCCCAATATGTCTTTTATATCTGATTTTTTTTAAAAATTAGTCAAGCGAAACCAAATTTTAAGTGGTAGCAATGATGAATGGTGGATATTCATGCTCAGGTAGATATTCCATATTTAATGTAGTATAGGCTTGATTGCTTTAACAGATGTGATATGTATCATAGGAAATATCATCAGCAGCATATTTTAAGAACTGTATTGTAATCAGTACTGATAGGGGCTGGGGATTTAGCTCAGTGGCTCCACTGCCTGCCTCACAAGCACAAGGTGCCCAGTTCGATCCCCAGTACCAACAAAACAAAACAAAACAACAACAACAAAATACAGATAGATGGATAGAAGAAACCAAAACCAGCTCATAGTTTAGGGCAATCGGGGATTAATATTTTTCTGTATTAGTATTTTTCATTTCCTACACTGTTGAACTCTATGATTTGTACAGAACTAGTGTTGAAGATAAGTACATGGATTTGACCTGTTGTTTGTGTGTCTTTTGTATGCTCTGGGTGCTGGGATTTGGATTTATGGCCCCATGTGTGCCAGGCATGCCATCTGCCATCGAGCTCCACTGCAACCCCTCTCTGTCGTGTTGACTCATGTCTGTCATTTGAGTGGATGAGACTGACAGGATGAAGAAGGGAAGCAGTTGAATGAAGAAGAGTTTTTGTTACATTTCTGAATTTGGAAGTAGTATCTTACAGTTATGATTGTTTCAGGAATTATCTTGAACTAGGAGATTTTAGCATGTAGTAAATCAAAACAAATGTATTTAAAATTATAGATATCTATTGAATATTTAAAAATCGAGAAATAAATGCATGTTACAGTCAATAACCTGATAGCTTCATTGGTTTGTTATTTAAAATTTACCTTGAGTTTGTCCCTTGTGGAAAAATTAATTATGACATATTTGTGGTAGATAGTAATAACTGACCATACCTATAAAAAGAATAGATTATCTTATTTCTTCTCATTCTTCTTTAGGTCGAGATTTAATTTGTATCCAGTCTGTGGATGGGATGCTGATGTTGTTTGAACAGGAAAGCTATGCTTTTGGGCGGTTTCTCCCTGGTTCTCTTCTGCCTGGCCCTCTAGCTTACAGTTCCCGCACAGATTCCTTCATTACTGTCTCTTCCTGCCAGCAAGTGGAAAGTTACAAGTAAGTTTGTATATTGAATCTTTGGAATCATAATTTTATTGGTGTACTAATTCTTTTTTACAGTGCTTGAATGTTACAAATGAATAACACATTGGTTTCTTTGATAAAATGTAGTATGATGACTTAGTGCATATCTTTTTTTGTATTTAAAATATTTGAAAGGCAGTGTAGTGCAGTGATTGGAGAGGAGGTGTTTGTAGAGAGAAAGTACTGGGTTGGAGTCCTGATTTTACTACTCATAGCTGTTTGATGATCAGTGTCCTTATCTAAGCTCTACAGTGCTCATTTTGACAAGTTTGTTGCAAGAATTAATTGTATGTCAAGTTGTCACCCCATAGAAAATGTTCAGTAGTTACCATGACTGTTGCATGATGTAATAAATAATAACACACAGTGTTAGGTGAGAAAAAGTACGGGATTATTTTAAAACAGAAGAATGTATAGGACACTAGAAAAATACTGGCAAGAAATACAGATGTTATGAATATTAATCATTTTTACAAAGAACAATTTATAGTAAAGGTGAAGTCTGAAAATGATCCTGTGAAAATGATCCTTTTTGCTTGAAATTCTTATTAATCTTAGTGAGTTGTGTTTGAGAGATAATTTTTTCCTCCAACAGCTAAATTTCAATAAAAGTTAAGAGTTTGTTTTTATTGGCAGAGAGAATGGAGGAAAGAAGTTCATGCTAGGAAAAGAAATAGACTTGGAGAGTTTCAGCATGTTTGGTTACTTTACTGTTATCTTTGTGATGGTGACATTTATAACTTTAAACATCTAAATGACATCATTATAGCTTTTCAGTGGTATTTTTTTACTACATGATTTTTCTTAAACCTATCAATAATCAGTTACTAGAAAGTAATCTGCTAATAGAACAGTCTTTTCATATATAATTCATTTTCATTTTTGATACTGATGTTTAATTGCTTTAAACTCAGCTCAGTTATGTTCAGATAGGAACACTTTGGTTGTCAGACTTTACTGTGTGTGAGAATCCCCTGAGCAGCCTGTTACAAAATGCACATTTATAGATTCCTAGGCCCCGGTTCCCTAGATCTTGACTTAATTGGTTTAGAGCTAACTACCTCTTGGAATCATCTTTGTAAATATATGCACCACGTAAGGCAAGAAAATGGTTTGTCCTTTTCTGGGATTGTGGGGGAGGGCTGTGATGCTGCTGTTCTCTTGGCCACATGTGCCTGAACTTTGGGTCATCTTGGTATCTTTTCCTTTCCTTTGCCTGTCAGCATTATTTAGTCAGTAAACTCTCACCATTCTACCTTTAATTCTCTTACTTAGGCCTTGCTACCCTTTCCCCTTCAGTTCTTTTATGTGGATTTCGATTTGTTTTTCCTTCTCTCTGATTTAGTCTTTGAAAGGTGTTTCTTTTATCTGTCCTTTTACATTGCCTCTTAAAACCAGAATAAATTTAATTTTCCAGTATAATATCTACACTTTCTAAACAGTTGACCCTCTGTTTCATAGGTTCCATATTTGACAGTTCAACTAATTTCAGATTGAAGGTACTTGGAACAGCTTGTGTCTGTTCTTCACATGTATGGCTTTTCAACATCATTGTGTAAACAATAAAGTACAAGAACTATTACAAGCATTCATTCATTCATTCATTCATTCATTTATTTATTTATTTATTTATTTATTTATTTATTTATTTATTTATTTATTTTGGATTTTCGTTTTTTGAGACAGAATTTGCTATGTAGCCCAGGCTGGCCTTGCGGCAATCCTCCTGTCTCAGCCTCCCAAGTGCTGGGATTACAGTCATGCACCACCATGCCTAGCTAGAAAGCATTTATATTGTAGCATGTATTAAAAGCAATCTAGAGAAGATCTGAAGTATATGGGAGGGCTTGGGTGTGTAGCTCAGGGCTAGAGTACTCGGCTAGCTTCCATATGGCCTGAGTTTGATCCCTAGAACTATAAGGAAAACAAAGTAGGATATATGGTAAGATATATATGAGTTCTGTGTAAATACTGTACCACTTTCTACAAGGGATTGGAGCATCTTCAAATATGATATGGTGGGTGCAAGTATGTCCTGGAACTAATTCCTCCTGGGCACCAAAGGATGACTGTGTTGGCATTCAGTGCTCTTTATAAACTAGCCCCATTTACATTTATGATGTGATTTTCAGATTTGAAATAGAGCTTTAAAATAAACTTGTTCAACTATTCCTTGTTCACCTGCTTGAACATATCATTGTCTAAAAACCATTCATATGAACTTATCGTAGGTTGCCTTCTGTGCTATAGTGAAATGTTCCAGAATATGTCCCCTGTCTGGTAGCTGAGAGCAGCATTTATCTTAATTATCTATCCACTGACTGAACAATTCACTTCATCTGTGCAGTAGTTGAGTCAGCAAACATCTTAAGAATCTTCACTGTGCCGCATGCCATGCAAGATCCTGGAGACGCAAAGTCAGAAAGACTTGTCTCCTGTCTCCCGCAGGATTCCAGCTGGTCACTCAGGTCCTGTAATGCAGGCAGCCGCAGACTGTGCAGGGGACACAGAGGAGCCTAGAGGGGAGCATCTAAAGAAGAGGAGGATGTCAGAGGGTCCTGGAAGCGGGGTGGATGCCTGCTATGAGTTTTATTTTCTCTTCCTTCCTCTGATATACGCCTCTCCCAGCACCCTTCTGGTAATTCCTAATATGTTGCTCAATAAATGCAGATTTTAAGTATTTTAGAACATGTTTGTTCAGTTTGACTATTTTAAAAGGAAAATTGGGTTCTTTATCAGACTTAGGCTCTGGCCAAATTGAAATACTTGTATTCTCCAGATATGGTAAGGGTTTCTCTCTCTCTCTCTCTCTCTCTCTCTCTCTCTCTCTCTCTCTCTCTCTCCCTCTCTTTCTCTCTCTCAATCCCTTCAGCTCCAGCTGTACCCTGGGTCTGAGATGAAAATTATGCTTGCTTGCAAGCTGCCTGTTCCCTTTCAGTTCTTCCTTGACCTATCCATATGCAACATCTCTTCTCAATTCATGAGGTTTTTCAGCGATTCCCTCAAGCCTTTCCATGTTTCACACTTTCCATATTAAATATTTGCCTGCTTGCTTTTCTCATTGGACTCAGTCCTCCTTGGTGGCAGGGAGTCTTGGACCCTCTGAAGTGCCAGCACTGTGCCTTGCAGAGAGTAGGTGTTTAACAAGAATTTGATGAAGGAGTGAAAAGTGTGTAACGAAACTTTCTATTCTTTTTCTGGCATCTTTCAGCTAAAGTGTCTCTGCCAGGCATAGTTAAGAACATCTGAGCCATGGCTGACATGAACATATCAGTGCTCTGTATCCAGAGTTTCCATTTGTAGTGAAGTTCTCCAGGTTAGATACCAAGGTTCCCAAATCTCCTGGTACTCTTTGGATGTGTTTCATTTGAAAATAGATGATTTCGGTGGGTTTACTTTTGTACCCTGTGACACGTTAATCCATATTTTAGTTCCTTGCTGTTTTTTACAGTGTGATATGGATGAACACCGAAATCACATGGTTGTGTTTGTCATTGGTTCTCCATGGGACTAGCCAAGCATTTGTGGCTCCTAGATCAAAAACCACTGCCACTCACCTGGACTTGTAGTTTGTGATTAGCACCTTCCTGTTCTGAGAAGCATAGCTGACACTCTCATAAAATCTTACTACATTGGGCCGATTATTCTTTCAGCAGTCTCAACAAGGGAATTTTATTCTTTACCTTATTTAAATCACTGAACACTTGAGTAGTAAGAGAACTAAAAGATCTGTTTCCTTATTTTAGACTTTCCAAGTCTGATTGAAATTGTTTGGTTTTGGAAATAGATTTTCGTGTTCATTAATCGTCATAGTTAAGAGGAGTTAAGGAAGAATCATAAAATAGATGAAATTATAAGTTTCTTATCTAAATTTACTGTCAGCTATGTCTGAATTGTCTTCCAAGAAAAGAAATGGTTTGGATGGATTTGGAAATCAGTCATCAATTTTGGCTTCCTCTCTGCCTGCTTTTTTATGTTAATGAGGCCACTTCAGGGGATCACTTCTCAGATGAAATAATAACCCTTTGTATTATATGCACAGCTTCAAACAGCTCAAAGAGCTTTGGATTTTTGCAACAGCCTCATTAATATCCATTCATCCTTAGGTTGGTGGTATCTGCAGAAAGTAAACCACCTCTGGAATAGATTGCCTGAGGTTACATCTGTAGTGTCTCAGGAATGACGTACTTGTCACCAGTGCATGCTGTTTCTCTTGCTGAACTGAGGCTGGGAAAACAGTCCTGTTTGGAGGTTTGAAATGTGAGGTCTTTCTGTCTGTCACTTTTGGGACTTTGGGATTTTTGAAGGTTGATCTCCAATGCCATAGAGACTTTTGCTGCAGCTCCTATGGAACTTTTTAGCATGCTTTTACAAGGCTAAGCTCTTCTCCCGCCTACCTTTTTCATTTTCAGTTCCCATGACTCTTTCCTGTCTACCAGGTACTCTCCATGGCCTTTCATGTCTCTTCTTGTTGCTGCTTTGACTTGTGCTGTTTGCTTTGCCATAATGCCTTTCTGTTCTTTGTCAGCACGGTAAAGCTTTGTTCATTCTTTAACACATAACTTTCTTCTGAACATATGTCAAAAGTGTGTCTCCTGCCTCCCACCTCACAGTAGCTGCTTATTTGTGCACAGTCTTGTCCCATCAGTACTATGTGCAGGTATTGTACTGGAACAAGGCCCTCTGAGTGACACTGAGTTGACCGTACATGGATCCCTACACTGCCTAGGTGCTCCTGATGGTTATGCACTATGTAGTGGTTTTTCCATATGCTGATGCCTGTTTTAGTTCTGGTCTGTATGTTCACTGGATGAATTCATACTCATTGAACTTAGGCCTGATTTCTTTATATGTGTTTGTGAACTTGTCATTAGTTTCTGTGCCTTGCAAAGTCGACTTTAATTTATAGTCATTTTTCAACCTCCTGAAATTGAAGGTTTTTTTTAAGAAATGAATTATTCCTATTTGAGATATGATAGTTTTAGGGTTGACATATATCATATATTTATTTTGTGGTCTACACCAGAATATCTGAGGCTGGGCAATTCCTAAAAAAATAGAGGTTTATTTCTCACAATTTTGTAGGCTGGGAAGTCCAGGATCACAAGGCTGGCATCTGTTGAGGGCCTTCTTGGTCACTGTCTCTTGGTAGGACAGAAGAGCACGCAGAAGAGGGGGCTAGAGTTGGGTCTTGGAGCCCCAAGCTGTGTAGTAATCAACATTAAACCATTAAAGAGAGCTGGGCCCTGGCGACCAAAACAACCCCCATTAGATTCCACCTTCCAACGCTGTTGCATTGGGGATTGAGTTTCTAACATGTCGTTTTGGAACACACATTCATATCATAGTATATGGCATCTGGATACTACTGTACTTCTCAGTGCTCAGATAGCCATATTGCCTTCATCCTTCAGGTTCCTGGATCTGGCACTCTCTGGCATCTTTGGCTTGGGTAGTAAGAGTGTCTGAATATAACTTTTTCTAAATTTTCCTTTTAGCTATAGAGGAATGATACAAGGAGTTTTTATTCAGCAAGAGGTAAAGGAAATCTGTTAGCTTGAAGTTTCTTCATTTAGAATGAGTATTTTAAGTATATACCATAATTAATGGGAAATAAAGTAATTTGAACTTGATCAGCTAACTTAATCATTTTGAGATTGAATGATATTTATAAATTGTTTTACAGAATGGTTTTGATATAGAAAATAATACCGGAGATGAAATATGAAATATATCTCCCAATCTGTTAGCTGTATGATATGCCAAGCTCTTGTTTTCTAACAATCGAAGAATGAATTCTGGGAACAATGGAGGTTAAGAATAGAAAGATATTTATTTATAGGAAAGCTCCTGAGGGCCAGGAGGGGGACCCAAGTGGTTAGCCCGGGGACCCCATTTTACAGAGGAGTTTATAGAATGGAACACATTTGAGTACAAAACGGGCCACAGCCATGATCAACCAATAAGTTTATAAGCATAGTCATTTAGATAGTAGTGGTCCAGTTGGGAAACAAGTCATGCAACAAGTGTGGATGGAAAGAACAAAGATTCTCCTAGGAAAGAGTGGGTCCAGAGGTCTCTGGTCACCCACCAGGGTGGCTAATGTCCATCTAAACTTCATTTGGCCTAGTGTTTGTCTTCTGAGGACGTATGTGGGTCTGGTCATCTTGTCTTTATCTTGAGGCCCAGTCTCTAACCGGTATGTCTCCAGCTGCAGGCGCAGTTGTGAGGTGTTTTATCTTTGTCCTGACTCTCTCAAGGACGTAGCCCTCCCTATCTGACTGCCTGTAATATTTCTACCTAACTCATCTGTCTCTAATAGTTTGAATAAATACCCTTATTGAAACACTGTACAGAGCCATAGTGTTCCTCATTAAGAACGTATTATATACCAGATAAGTGAGTGATCTCTGTGTCTACATAAATCTGTATTTGTCCTCTTCTCAAGTCATTAATCAGTAATTAGGCACTGCATATATGTTGAGCATCCATAATCTGGAAATCTGGAATCTAAAATGCTGTCATTTCCAAAGCTGTTTTTCTTTTCTGTTTTGTTTTTTTTTTCCTGTCTATTTTTCAGTACTTGGGAATTGAACCTAGTACCTCACACCTGCTAGGCAGGTGCTATAGCACTGAGCTACAACCCCAGTCCTTTAAAAATACATTTTATTTTGAGACAGAAGCTCTGTAAATTGCCCTGCTTCTCTTTGAATTTACAGTCTTACTGCCTAGGCCTCCCAGAGAGCGTGGCTTACAGAAGGCCAGCACCACACCCAGCCTATCTGAGAGTTTTTGGGTGTTGCCATCATGTTCAAAAGGTTTGGGTTTTAGAGCGTTTTGAATTTTGGGTTTTTGGATTAGGGATGCTCAGTTGGTAAACCCTGTGCAAATATTCCAAAATCCAAAATACTATGAAATCTGAAACATTCTGGTCCCAAGCATTTCAGATAAGGAATACTCAGCATATACCAGGTACCTTTCTAGGCACTTTTCAATAATTTACTTTTTATCCTTTTTAAGAATCTTTAAGTTAGAGGGCCGAGGACTTAGCTTAGTGGCACTGCGCCTGCCTGACAAATGCAAAGTCCTGAGTTCGATTCACTTTAAGGAGGGGAGGAGAAAGAATCTTTAAGTTAGAGATTATTATTTTCATTTTATAGATGGCGAAACTAAGACCTAAAATGGCTCTCATTAAGTAGTTTAGCTGGAGTTTAAATTTAGTTCTTGATTCCACTGTTTATGTATTAAAAATTTCTAGTACATCTGACTGCTTTGTATTATTTATAGTTGTTTCTGTCTATTTGATGTGTAGGAGCTTTTCTGCATGTTAGTTGTCACATAAAATTCTAATGAAAGTGCTTTGATAGTAGAGAGCTATTTTCTCATTACTGAATCATTGGGATAGATAGGTATAATTCTTTATCATGACAATTTATGCAGCCTCGTGTTATAGGCCAATAAAAATTCAACCTCAAAGTTAAAGAGAGAGAAAAAAAGTATTGTAATCCAGTGCAGACAGTGTATCTAAGAGTGTGCCTCGACTTAGTACAATTGTCTTACATGTTTTGTATGTTCTTTAGCCTATTAGATTGGTTTTCAATCTGTATATATGATAATTTTTATAAGGTCTTATACATAAGTGAGTCTGGTGCTGGAAAAATAAAAGGGAGGTGGAGGGAAGGGGAAACAAGGAATTGAAATGTGTTGTGTACACGAACCAATTCCCTACAGTGAATGTAATCATTATGTACCGCACACATGTACTAATAAAAGTCGAAAAAGAAACATTCATAATGTCTATAGGTTATATTCCTTTACAGTTTAAAAAAGTTTACAGTTTTAAAATTATAAGGTCGCATCCTTTTTCCATCTCTTCCATACAGGTACCAAGTACTTGCTTTCGCAACAGATGCAGATAAAAGGGAGGAGACTGAGCAGCAAAAACTTGGTTCTGGAAAAAGACTGGTTGTAAGGCCCTTTTTAATATATAGAAAATTCAGTAATGCCATATCTAGTCACAGATGTTTGTTAAGAATTCCTGGGAAGAGAATTTAAAAAAATATATATATATATACACATATATATATATATATATATGTATGTCTCATTTCTGTGTATAATTGTTTAAAGCAATAACCAAAGAATTTAATTGGCTGTTATTGAGGAATGGAGACACATGCTTGGTCATCCCTGTATTATGTCTGATTATGGATGGAGTGGTAGTGCAGGGACTCTTGTCTAAATGAGATCACTTTTAACTGAAGTGATTATAAACTAAATAAAAAGAAAAATTTAAAAATACTTCTTTAATAAGCAAATTTATATACATTATATTTTTGTGTTCCTAATGTCTTTTTCCTTGGGCTAATTTTCAGATTTTCTCTTGCACACATTTTAAGCAATTACGATTCCTTCCTCATCTTCCCTCCCTCCCTTTCTCCTTCTTTCCCTCCTTGTCTTCTTTCCTCCCTCCCTCCCTCCCTCCTGCCTTCCTCCCTCAAGTTTAGGACTTACTGAGGTTTTTGCATCTGTGAATTTACAATTTTCTTAAATTTAGAAAAAAATGTAGCCATTTATTTTTCAAATATTTTTTCTGTGATCTCTTTCTTTTGCATTGGGAACTTGAGTTGTACATATATTTAGAGCACTTGAAATTTTCTCACAGCTTACAGATTTTCTGTGCATTTTATTTATTTCGCAATTCTGGACATTGAACCCAAGGCTGTGTACATGCTAGGCAAATGATGCATGACTGAGCTTCATCCCATTTAAAAAAAAAATTTATTCTTGCTGGGATATTCATTTGGGATAGTTTCTATTGCTGTTTTTAAGACCACTAATTATTTTTCCTACAATATCTAATTTGGTATCAATTCTCATTTTGCATAGGTATCATTTCTACTAATTCAGTTTGAGTTTTTTTTATATCTTCTGTGTCTCTACATAATCTTTTGAAGATACAGAGTATAGTTATAATGATTGTTTTAATGTCTTTGTTTCTAATTCTAGTATCTGTATCCATTTTGGGTCAGTTTCAGTTATCCCTTTTTGTAAATCGCATCCTGCTTTTGAAATCCTCTCCTCTCCTCTTCTCTTCTCTCCTCCCCTCTCCTCTCTTCCCCTCCCCTCCCCTCCCTTCTCCTCTCTTTTTTCCCTTTCTCTCTCTCTTTCTCTCTTTTTCTTTCTTTCTTTCTCTCTTTCTTTTCTTCCTTCCTTCCTTCTTCCTCCCTATCCCCTCCTGCTAGTGAACAGTTGTTTTTTTTTTTTATTTCATCTCTACTTTCCTGTTTCTTCGTTCACTTCCATCAGTCATATGTTAATCCTTGTTTGCATTATCTGGCAGCTGCTGGATTGATTTCTCGTGGTCCTTTACTATTTTTAAGAAATTTTTCTTTTCCTGGTCTCTAATTGCAATCTTATCTTCTATATCTGAAATTCTGTCCTCACATTGGCTCATTCCACTGCATAAAATTTCAGTGGAGTTTTTAATCTCCTGGAAACCTGTTTGCATCTGTTTTGTGGATTCCATTTGTTTCCTATGTTGGCATTCCATCATGTTCCTCAGTTCTATTTTTTTGTTTGTGTGCTCTCTAGATTTGCTGATCATGTCTTGCACTATGGGCACAATCTCTGTTGTTATCTGAGAAATTATTTCTAATTTCATTGTTTCCAGATCCTCTTTTGTTACCAGTTCAGCGAGTCCAGGTGATTGAGTATCAGATTGTTCCATCTCATTTCCCTTTGGGGTTGCTTTAGGTGATCTGGAAATCTGGTGTTGAGATTTGTTTATGTGTCTTCTCATTTCAATGGAGCGGGCATGGAGGGGTGCTGCTGGTGCCCGTGTGTGGGTCACCTCCCCACTGCTGGGGGTGGCTCTGCTCCTCTGTGCTGGGGGTTGTGGTATGGCAGCCCGGTAGGCTCCTTCTCAGCCTTGGGGGTGGCTCTGCTCAGTCTTCTAGATTTCTGCATGGCACTTTTTTTAATGTACTCTAATTCTTTTCTATGCGGGGCATTCATGTTTTGGAATTCTTTAACTTCACTAGCTTTTTATTTGTGTCTTGTAGGCTTGCTGGTTATTTCATTAGGATTATTATGTGTTTAATTAGGTCTTCTTTGAATTCATCAAGCATCTTATTGGTTTGTTTTGTTACTTCCTGTGTTACCTTTCAGATAACTCAGCTGTGAGGCTTTTGATGTCCTCCCCTTTGATGCCTTCTGGATCGGGTTTGGTGATATAAGGGAGTTTTGGAGACATTTTGTTGCTTTGTCTTCCTATGTTCTATTTTTTGGGGGGTTTTTTGGGTTTTTTTTTTTCATTTTATGTATTGAGGCTGGTGGGTTGATTATAGTGGGTAGCTTTGTTTCTCGTATAGAGATCTCTTTAGTTAATGTCTACTTTTTAGAGATGTCCCCTGGGAGTGACTAACTATTGGCCTTTGCGTCTGTCTGAGCATCTAATCACCTCTGTTTATTTGGGAGGAGATATTGCAGCTTATTTGGCTCAGTAGCCATTTCTTCAGGAATGGAATCCAGTATTGTTTATGACCTCTAGGTAGTCCAGGTATTGGCATACAATGAAATCCCATTGATAGCAACAACTATGTCACCTTGGGTACAATAATAAGATCAACAATAGCAGTAGCATGAAATACAAACTGGATGTTGAGAGATCCTAAGAACAATGAATCATAGGTCTAGATTATAACATAAACACTAAGACAAACCAGATATTGACTTATATGTCTAAGTCAGTGCATCGATTTTACCTCCACTAACAATAGAATAGTGTTCAAAGTAAGAAGATGTAGTTAACAATGACTAGATCCATAAAGCTTAGTGGTTGTACTAGTAGGGTAGAGCATGTGGGCAATAGGAGCATGAAAAAGTGAAGATAGAAAAATTATGCCATGGAAGACGAGGATGTGATAAAAGTGAAATGAAGGACCCTCTTAAGGGGTAAAAGGAAATTCATAGTGTTAGATATAAGTAATAGAAAAAGAAACCAACAAGAAAAAGAGAAGATAGTAAACTAAAAACAATAAGGGAACAGATTAAAAGAGCAAGAATGAGAGAAGAAGAGGGGAAAGAGAGGACTGTGTTGGTTACTTTTCTTGTTGCTGAGGCAGAATACCCGACACCCAAAGTTAATGGAGGAAAAGCCTATTTAGCTCACGGTTTGTAGAGGTTTCACTCCATAATTGGCTGGCTTCAAGGCAGAGTGGCTCATGGCAGAGGGGCTTTGCAGAGTAGAAACAGTTCATGGTTCCTATGTGGTAGCAAAAGCAAGGGGTCTTAACAGCATCTTTCTACCCCTTTTATCTTATTCAGACTACTTAGGGTGGGCAGCACTCACGCCCTTAATCCTGGTGTCCTTGGGCCTAGCCCCATTTTGAATCAATCACACACTCTAGATTCAGCAACCTCTGAAAAAGCATGAGGCTTTGAGGGGACATCTACACACAAGCCATAACAAGGACCAAAACAAAGATAATAATAATTAAAAAAAAGAAAATAGGGGAGGAAAAAAACAAAACAAAGCAAAACTCATAAAGGAGAAAAAAATCAGTAAAAAATTCCTATGTATTTCCAAATAAGTGGTTTCCTTCCAGGACCGGTAATATTTAGAATCCAGCTAGTTGCAGTCCTCTCTACCTCACTTTATAGCCTGTGGGTTTGAGGTGACTCCGCTGCTCAAGATGTCCCCCTGTGTGTAAATCTCAGACCATGGCAACTGTCTAAGCCATGTCACATCCCTGCTCCCTTTGGTATATGGAAAAGCAGTCAGACCAGTGGTCTCTGCTAGATTTAGGCCTCTGGGTGGGAGTTAAAGTAGCCTGCTGGACTCAACGCCATCGCCTTCAGATCCAGTCACTTCTGAAAACCACCCCTGCTGAACCTGGCCTCCTACCTCAGAATGCAGGTCTCATGTTCTTCCTGGCCTCCTACCTCAGAATGCAGGTCTCATGTCCTTCCTGGCCTTAGATTGGACTTCTCAGGGGATCTACGTCTGTGTAGCCCTCACCCCCTCCACCTGTGTCTCCCCTGGCTGACTCACCTGTAACACTTCAGTCTTGGAGTAAAACTGTAGTATAGGTATTCTGTGGCTCATTTCCACACAATCAACCCCTTCCCCAGATGGTGCCAAGTTAGACTCTGTGGTAATATGGCAGGCTCTGGACTTGATTTTTGTCTCCAGCTCTATCATGCCATGAAGAAATCACTCTTGGAGTGATTTAAACCACACTGTTTTTAAAGTTTACACCAGCCATAGGCTTTTCTTGTGTCTAGAATGCTGGTTCATCTGCTTTTTTTGGGGGGGGTACCAGGGGTCAAACTCAGGACCTTGCGCTTGTGAGGCAGGTGGTGGAACCACTGAGCTAAATCCCCAGCCCCTGCTCTTCTTTTTGAAGCAGCCAACTCTTCCAGTCTTCCCAGGCTGCTGGCTGTGGCCCCAGTCAGCTGAGTCATTTGGTAGTCATCTCTGCTGCCTGTGTTGAAGGGAACCAAGTTGCAAAGCCAGCCAGCAGTCGGCAGATTGATGTGTGTAGCAGTACTTTCGCCTCTTTGTGGTGCCAGTTATTTGTTGATTAAAGCCTAACTTTGAGAATGGTCTTATTCTTCTTTGGTGTTATTATTGTTTGTGGAGCTGTCTCACTGCCATTGCCATATGTAACATACAAGATTTTCAACATGATACATCTTTGTTCTTTTGCATCTTCTTGATTTACAAATATTATTAACTTTGAAGATAAATTCTTAAAATCTTTCCTTTCACATGTTCACTTTACATTCATGCCTTTATTATTTTAAAAGCATTTATTGAATCTTGACCATGTTCTAGAGATACGGAGATACTGTAGCAGTGCTTAGGTGTAGAGGAGTCTATCTGTACTACTGCAGTAGCTTGTTAACTGCTCCTATATAACTGTGTGTCAATATGTTTTAAGGTTATCTTTTTTCAAAGTATTACATTGATAAAAATATTGGCTATATATTTTGACAAGTTTGATTTGCAAAGTAATAGCTTTTAAAAAATAAATACTTTTAAGCATACATAAAATTTACATATTAATGGGGAATCATGAGATGTTTCGGTACATGTATACATTGTATAAAGTTAAATTAGGTTAAATAGATCTATCTCCTCAAACATCATTTATTTATGATGATAAAAATCCTTTCTTCTGGCTTTTTGAAGTATACATTTTATTATCTGTAGTCATGCTACCGTGCAGTAGCACATTGGAACTTCTTACTCTTATAAGACTAACATCCTTTCTTCACCCCCTCAATAGCTTTTTTACAGAATTTTTTTCAGGAAGAAGATAACTTTTTAATGGGACATTTTTGAACTACTGAATATCAGTGTAATATATAATAAGAGATGGTGCAAAACAACCTAGAATCTGTAAAATACCAGAAGTAGGATAATAACACACAAACCCAATTAAATGAAGGAAATTAGTCAATCTTTATATCTCTGCTTTGAAGGGAAATAATTTCTTAACTTACATTGATCTGAAAATGACTGAAACGTTCTGTTTTAGCAATTAACTTGATCTTGGGTTTTGGTCTGCAGGTGGATTGGACGCTAAATATTGGAGAGCAGGCCCTTGATATATGCATTGTGTCTTTCAATCAGTCAACATCTTCTGTTTTTGTTCTTGGCGAGAGAAACTTCTTTTGCCTTAAGGACAATGGACAAATTCGATTCATGAAGAAGCTTGATTGTAGCCCAAGTTGTTTTCTTCCGTATTGCTCAGGTGTGTAGAAAGATTTTCTTTTATCTTTTCCACATGTCTGGGCTCTGTTGTATGTATCATAAAAAGTCACCCTTGTATACTATTTTAACCATCTAAGAAAATATTTTTATACTGAAGATGTAATGGAGATTTTAACTTTCAACATTTGTTTAGAGGCTTACTATAAAGCACACATTTGGTTTTGTCAGTCCTTTTACTTTAATGACATGGAATTGACTTCCAGCATACACTAGTGCTTTCCATAATGTCACTGTTCAAAAGGCTTCTAGGAGAATACCAGCTCTTATAGACAGAATATTAATATCCAAGAGAATTACTCATCCATAGTGAATGTGCAGTTTTTAGCTTAAATGTGTCACACGTTAGTGAAATTCATACTGTAGGTAAAATGCAGGCATGTTGACCATTATTTGTATATTTGATGTCTGTTAAATGAGTTCTTTCTGATATTGGTAGCTTGAAATTGAATAATAATTTAGTACTTAAAGTTTTTGTGCATTAAAATCAAGATATTAGAATTAGTTAGTGTTTCAAGTCCCCTAAAATAGATATAATCTGCTGTTTCCAATGACCATTTTCTTCTTGTATCTTCAACTTACAGTTTCTGAGGGAACAATAAATACTTTGATTGGAAACCATAACAACATGTTGCACATTTATCAGGATGTGACACTGAAGTGGGCTGCTCAGCTCCCCCACATTCCTGTGGCCGTGAAAGTTGGCTCTATGCAGTAAGTGATATAATTGATTGAGACCTTAGAGTTCTCTAGAAGTTTTGTGAAATGTGGCAGGTGATCTTATTAAGAAATGCTGAGTAACATTGTAGTGTGGTATTGGTAATACAAATAACCTGAAGTATGAATTATTGGAGAAGGATCTATGATTAATTGGGACTATTAGCCATTATTATTTAGTATTTCTATCAGGATATCCTTTGTAAATTAAAGGTGAAAGCTGTATGAGATAATAAGAAAATGGTGTATTTGTTATATTATTTTCTTTAAAATAGAAAAGGATTTCTTTTAGCATTTGATGGGTCTCATTCAGAGACCAGTTACTGATAGAGTGTGAAAATATACTTGTTCATAAGGTTTGCACTTGTTTCTGGACTTTATTATGTCAACTGATATAGAATTGGTAGTGATCATATGTTTAAGCAGTTTAGATTTTAAATAGGACCATTTTGCATTTAAAATGAAGAAAATTCATATCTTAATATTACATTTATAAAATTTATCAAAAATGAGAGAAATGAGACCTGATTTCTCAGTAATTTTTCAAGGTCATTAGTATAAAAGGCAAGATCCTGATAAACTCTTTAGGGACTCAGATTATGTTTAGGAGTTGAAAATCTCAGCCAGTGTATAGAAATACAAGTTTCTCTAAAGCTTCATAGATTCCTAGGTCTGTTCAGTTCTGTTTGTTTAGCCTATTTTATTGCACATTTCAGAACCATATGTGAAATTTTTCAGTAACACCTATAATATCTGATCTGGATGAGTTATCTTCCCAGATAAGGGGCTAGATATGTAATATTATTATTGAAATTTGGTAAGAGGCATTCATATTTGCATTAGTCAATCTACATTTGCATTGCTAATCTAAAGCCTGCATCTTGGCAAAATGAAACCATGTTTAGAAAACCCTGAATTTTTAAAAAAATAAGTTGGGTCCTTATATTTTATGAGAAAAAAACTATCATATAATTGCTATGTACTTAAAAGGAGTAATAGTTATTTTGTGTCTGAAGAATAATTTAAAATCTTAAAATTGGCTTTTTCTTGTACTGGGGATTGAACTCAGGACCTGGCGCCTGCAAGGCAGGTACAGCACCACTGAGCTAAATGGCCAGCTTGAAATTGTCTTTGGCGGTGTCCACCAGATGTCTAAGTTCAGCCAGACTCAGCAGACATTTTACATCAAATTTACTTGGAAGGATTTAGAACAGGAAAAACATCTTGCCAGCAGGGCCATGTCAGGTAGTCAGATACTTCTCTGTGGTTGAGTAATTCTTCCAGCAGTCCATATATCCATCCAAGAGCTGTTCTCTTTAGCTCCACAAGCAACAGTTTAGGTGCAAAAAGACAGATCCACACTGGTGGGTACATGGGCCAGCTTGGCTGCTAATCTATATGCTCCTCAAAACCAGGGTTTTTCAGTGTTTCAAAAGTCACTGCAGCTTTTGTGTGTAGTTTGGCATTGGAGTGATGAGAGCATTTAGTTGAAATACTTAATTTATATGTACGTCATGTTCAAGACTTTCAAGAGTCACCTTACCCAGAGAAGAGCAAAGATATAGCTTCTTAGCAGATATTTATTATTAATTTATAATTTTTGGTTCACATATAAATGACAATTTAAGGGTCCAGTGAATGAAATTATAATGACTGAAAATTCAGTTTCCTTGTAGTGTGCATTATGATGCCTATGTGCAACAGTGGTATGTAGCATTGTATTTTAGGTACCTGTACTTATGTAGGAAGCTTCCTATTTCTCATAGGTTTTTCAAGATTACACTTATGAACTATTAAATGCTGATACCACCACTAGGATTTTCTGTAATTAGTATATAATAAATTCTAATTATGCAGTTGAAGAATTTTCTGTTGTAATATACTTTAAAAGGATAGACTATGAAAGAATTTCATTGTAATTTTATTTGAATTTTAGAAGTAATTATTGCTAACAAATATGACATTTATATTTTGAAATTATAAGCACTGAAACAACTTTCCTCCCACTTTTTATTATCTTTAGGATTAAACTATTTTGGTAGAAGCTTTCTTGGCTGAATATAAAGGAAGTTGCAGCTACTTTAATTTTTTCAGTGAATAAGAGATACTGGATTTGGATAAAGCTGATGCAGTTATGCAGTGATGAGCAGAAGCGTTTCACTCAGAAACTAAGATGCTTTCTTTCCTCCCCTTTTTGCCCTGGTGGCAGCCCCGATCCTCTCTATCATGTTTATTATATGTTAACTTTTAACTCTGTTTCCTTCTTCCTTCCAGCAAACCTCATTCTTGGGCAGGGTTTTTTAAAATTATTTTTTATTATTTTTTCTGGGTTAAACTACAAGAATGTAAAATGAGTATTCAACTTACAAAATCAGAAGAGCCAGGTGTGATAATGATTTCTAAATTCTTTGCTACTACTGTTTTCTCCTCCTTAGCTGAAGTGGCTGTGGAAGTCTGGCCAAGTGTCTTACCTTTACTGTGTTCAGTTTCGCAAGTGGCAAATAAAGATCATCATTTGTCAGAGACATTATTCTCTCTGGAGATGTCAAGTATACCTGAAAGCGGAAATCTGCTTGGATACAGGTTTAGAGTGGTGAACACCTTTGCAGATGTTAGCTGATAGCCCATAGCCGTAGTGTTATAAAATCCTATCGCAGCTTGTTTTTTAGCATAAACAATTTGGTCCAGTTCTTCAGTGTTTTGTTTTTTTCTTCCCAGGCCATGTCCACAATAATCACACATTCTAACTTTTCTATTTAACATTTTTTATACTTTAGATTTCATTGTATAATATTCATGATTAGAAGTATTTTTTCCATTTCTTCTCTGGGTTTTCAAATTTCTTCTATATTTGAGTTCGAATTCAAGTCTTGTAAGGGTTCCCTCCCTACCATGTTCTCCTTCTCTGAATTTCTATCATATTTATAATTGTATGAGAGACACTTTTATTTTCCTAACTCTCCATTAGATCATGTACTCCTTTTCTGTATTTGCATGATATGCTCAATAATTAAGCATGAAAGTAAGGATACAATATATGCTTGGTAAATGGATGAAGTCATTGTGTTCTGTGTTGATATATTAGAGGAAGGAAGGCTAAAACACCTTTTAGTTGAAAACCATTTTTTAAATATGAAAAACTGAATCACAGAGGTAACGATATTTCTTTAAACCTAAGTTTATTAGGAGAGCATTTAAAATTTTTAAATTGACTTTTTCTTTCACTATGGTAAAGTTGGAAAATATTCAGGTGAGTTACGATAAAATATGTTTCTTCAGTTATAGGTCAGTACCAGATGTTTGTATGGTTTTCTGCTTCATTATAAAAGCTATTTGTGAACCAGATTGGGGCAGGGGTGGGGCTAGGCAGGAAGGAGGAAGCTTTTTAAAAAAAATTTTATTTTATTGGTACATTTTAGGTATCCAATATAATGGCATTCATCCTTGGAGATTTGCACCTTCACATAATCTCTCTTGGTTCTTATTTTTCTCCCTTCCCCTGCCTTCCCTTCAACCCCTCCATCCCTCCCTATTTACAAAGACTTTGTTTCCATTTTTTCATTTTCTCATTTTTATTCCTTTCCTTCTTTCCTTTCCCCTACCCCTCCCACTTCCCCTTCCCCCTTGCCCCTTTTCTTCCTATTTCACATTATCTATTATACCTTTTAGTCCTTATTTACACTCTCAGTTTCTCACACTAGAGAAACTATTCAGTATTTACACATGTGTGTGCTATTTATTTCATTTAAGAGTATCGCCTCAATGTGGATCCATTTAGCAATAAATGTCTCTAATTTCTCATTTTTTATGCCTGAGTAGTATACCATTTTATTTAAAAACCACATTTACTTTACCCAGTCTCCAGTGGATGGGCATTTGGGCGGTTTCTAAGCTTTAGCTATTACAAACTGTGCTGCTATGAACAGGGGTGCACATACATCTCTGTGGTATGATTCTTTTAATTATTTGGGGAAGATACCCAGCAGAGGAATAGCTGGGTCAAATGGGACTTCTAATTCTAGTTGTTTGAGGTATCTCCATACTGACTTCCACAGTGGTTGCACCAGTCTGCACTCCCACCAACAGTGGAGCAGTGTTCCTCTTTACCCACAGCCCTGCCAGCGTTTGTTGTTGGTTGATTTCATGATAGCAGCAGTTCTTTCTGGAGTGAGGTGGAATCTCAGTGCTGTTTTCATTTGCATCTCTCGAATGACCAGTGATGTTGAACATTTTTTCATAGGTTTATTTACCATTTCTACTTCTTTATGTGAAAAATATCTGTTCATTTCACATGCCCATTTTTGGATTGGGTCTTTGAATTTGGGAGGTCTGATTTTTTAAAAATTCTTTATAGATTCTAGATAGTAGGCCTTTGTCTGAGGAACAGCAGGTGAAAATTTTTTCCCACATTTGTGGGTTGTCTTTTCACACTGCTGGTGGTTTCTCTTGCTGTGCAGAAGCGTTTTAGTAAGAAGAGATCCAACTTGTTGATTGTTTGTGCTAGTTCATGGGCAAGAAGGAAGCTTTTTCAATGATTTTTATGCCTGTGTCCATTTCTCTTTTAAAGACAGATTCTTGCTGTGTAGCCTATACTGGACTTAAACTTGTGATCCTCCTGGCTCAGCCTCCTGAGTGCTGGGATTCTAGGTGTGTGCCAGGATGCCTGGCTGTGCCTGTGTCGTTGTCTCTTCTGTTCTACATGGCTCTTTTCACTAGCTGTTGGAGAGTGTGCCCTGAAGACTGTTGCCATAGTGAACTACACATTTCAGAAGCTCCTTAGTATCATAGAGTTAAATTTCAGAGAAAATTCTGGTTGGGAATTGGACTGGAAATAACACCAAATTTAGGCATTCTTTGGAGAAATTGACTTTGATCTGTCTGTACAGTCTTCATTCTGGCCAAGTTCTGGTTCTACAAAAGAGTTTATATACTTCCATGAAATTAGACATAAATAGTTTTGACATTAACATGCTTATCTTCCTTACTTTCCTCTACCC